TCCCCCGGCATACCAGCAACTTTCTGCTTCTAGGCAAGGTAAGCCGACCAGAGGTTTAAAGAATAGTTTTAAAAGTAATCGCCTTCTTCCCCAAAAACTTAAGCATAGAATTACTCCCTGAGCCAGGAAAATTCCACTCCTGGGGGCCCAAGCAGATCCGTGTACACCAATGTTCACTGCAGCACTGCTCACAGGGGCCAGAACGCAGAACACACGCATCTGTCAACAAACAGGAACGGGTAAACAGAACGTGGGCCACCCATAAGATGGAATATTACTCAGCCATAAAGTGAAATGAAGTCCTCAGACACTTTATGACACGGCTGAACCTCGCAGGATGATGAAAGAAGTCAGACGCTAAAGGACAGATACTGTATGACGCCACTTGTAGGAGGTAATTGCAACAGGCAAATGCAGAGAGAGCAGAGATGACTAGTGGTGACCAGGCCGGCACGATGGCTAAGCCCTTGACTGCTAACTGAAATGTTGATGGTTTGAACCCACCAGCGGCTCTGCAGGAGAAAGACCCGGTGGTCTGCTCTTATAAGGATGACAGCCGAGGAACTCCTGTGAGGACAGCACAGCTCTATTCTGTTCTCTAGGGTCACTACAAGTCTGAATGAATTGCACATACCACCACCAAGGGCGGGAGGGTGGCGGGGGTAGTGATTGCCCAGGGGCACTGAGTGGGGAGGTGGCAGGGGGAGTGACTACTTAGGGGTGCTGAGTTTCTGTTAAACCAAACCAAACCCACTGCCCTCAAGTCAATTCCAACTCAGAGCGACCCCACAGGACAGAGTAGAACTGCCCCACATGATTTCCAAGGCTCTCAATCTTTAGAGAAGCAGACTGCCTCCTCTTCCTCCCACTGAGCAGCTGCTGGGTTTGAACTGTCAACCTTTTGGTTAGTAGCCCAATGCTAAGCATGACACAAAACATTTGGACCCGTATAGTGGTGACAGTCGTACAACACGGGGGACGTAATTAATGTCTCTGCAACGTACATGTAAAAGTGGTTGAAATGGCAAATGTTTTGTTGTGTCTATTGGACCACAATTGAAAAAAAGCACGCTTGTGCCCTCGGTGCCCCCCAACACCGGCAGTGGTGTGACTTTGCCGGTGTACCCACGGCAGGGTACCCTGGCACATGCTTTTTGCACGAGCACAGCAGTTATGACTTAATCTGGTCGCCCCCTTCTGTCCCCACTGGGGGCTGAGCCACCATGCCTGGCAAGGGGCTGGGGGCTCTTTAGATATCCCCACCCCCACCGTTTGCCACAGGGAAGGGCAGAGTCAAGGGCAGACTACGCTAGCTTCGCTCAAGACGGGTATCCTCCGAACTGAACTCAGAAACGGGATGCCTACCCGCCACTGTACCAGGAAAATGCCAAAGATGCAGATAAAAGCCCAAGAGTGTCCCAATGCCCCCTTCCTAGGCCTCTCACCTCCCTCCAGTACCCAAGACCCCTGGAAGGGGTTGGGCCTGGCACGGTACCCGCGGAGCCCTGCACACAACCCGGGAATCTTCTCTTCATTCCGACTGATTCCGCAAATGGTGCCTAATGCAGTGGAGGGAAAGCCAACCGCTCTCCGCCGAAAACATTAAGCTTTGTCAATTATCCCCCAAACCCGCCGGGTTTATAAATATCCGCCTTTATTTTTAGGGTTTTCCTCCCGGCTCGCCCCCATCCTGAACTCTCACCACGCGGCCCCTTCCCCCCCACGCGTGGCGGCTGCACTCATGGGGAGCAGGTGAACACGGGGCCACTGGGTGGAAACACCACGCGCCTCGGAGCCCAACGTCTCCACCTGTCCCTCCCCGGCCACCTCGCTGACCATCGCCAGCACCGGGACTGTCAGCACAGCCACAGATCTCACACGAGGCAGAGAAGGCACACGCTGTGCTCAAACACCTGTACTATGTAACACTGCTGCTGGTGCAGGCAGCAAAAGGGGACACTGAGGCACCACCTGGGCAGCTGGTGGCCGAGCTCATCAGGTGGATGTGTGTCCTCGGCTAGTCCCAGCTCTGGAGTGGCCTGAACAGAGCCCCACGCTTTGTGTCACCAAAAGAAGAGTACCATGGGTGGGAAGGAACGGTTCCAGAATGGTCTACCCGGGTACTAACATTGAACCCTGGCGGCTGCGAGGCTCCCTCCCCTCCCATCACTCCGGGTCTGGGGTCTCCGCATCCCAGTATCCAAGAACAAAGGCCCCTTCGGCCCCTTCTCATCCCTGAGAGGGGCACACTGTCATGGGAAACCACCTGCAGCCCCCTGAGAGGTAAGAAAGAAAGAAACGCGTTCATGAGCCTCAAAGCCAAAAAGGATCAGAAAAGCAGAGCCAACCAGGCTTTTATTTCTGCACCGGCAGCAGGCGGCGCCTCCCCCCGGGAGCCAGCCCACCCCTTCCAATGCCACACCCGCTACACAGAATTTCTCATCCCTGCCTCCCACAGGGGACAGGGAGCGGCCCGGGGCCACCATCCCTTGGGATGGCCACTGGCATGACAGCACCAGCCCTGGTCCCCTCCAGGGGCCGATGTCATCGGGCAGGGTGGCAGGAATAGAACACACCATGAGCTCACCGGCCAGGCTGGGTCTCCCGCGACGTTTTGTTTGCCTGAGCCCAATTTACCAACTCTCAGGGCGACTGAGTGTGGCGGGTGGTGGCCCCCAAGAGGACTGGGGGGGCCCCCGGCCCCGTGCAGAAGTGCACTGTCATGGTGAAGGCAGCCCACGGGCCAAGAACCGGCCAAGAGGAGGTTGTCCGGAAGGGAGGCACAGAGACTGCAGGTAGAGAGAGATGCCCGAGAGAGGGTATCCTGGAGGGCAAAGGGGTCCCCCAAAGACTCAGTCTCAAGCCCTTGGGCTCTGGGACTGGGGGGGTATAGAGAGCATACGCTCCCCAACCCCAGCTGCCTGCCTTCCGCTGCCAAAGTATCAGCTGGCAGAGGGGGAAGAGAGGAGCCCAGAGACAGAAGGCAAGATTGGCAGGGGGAGGGGGCACAGGGACTGGGGACCCTGGGAGGGGGAGGGGAACTCTGCAAATGGCACAAGCGACTGAGTCCCTTGGCCATTAATAAAAGCTCCAGTGGCGGCAGCAGCTGGCCTCGCAGGGGCAGGGCCACGGCTGGCGGTCCCTTCTCCCAAGCGCAAGGCAGCTCCACGGGGAAGTGAGTACTGAACAAAGAGGGGCTCCCAGCCCCGAGGCGGCAGCGACGGGGGCATCTAGAGGAAGCGGGAATCCCAGCAGCCCAAGCCTGGCGGGGCCGCTGAGGACCCAGAGCGGATGGATCCCCGCCCTTGGGATCCTCGGGGACCCTTGGGCTTTGTCCCCAGGTCTCAGCGTCCCTAGTGCTCACCCGGACCCAACACCTCGGACCCCTCCACCGGCCGCGCGGTAGGGCTAGCCTTTCCGGGATTCGGCCTGAGCCAGAACAGCCGGATGCTTCGAACGAGGACTCCCCGAGATTGAGATTTGGGGGGGCAGGGGAATCCCAGCTGAGCCCGGGAGGGGGAGGGGAAACAACCCTAGATGGAGGCGCTGGGGAGGGTTGTAGATTTGGGGGATGGAGTCCCTAGGGGATGACTGAATTTGAGGAAAGGTTGATGAGGAAAAAGGCTTCCTCAAAGCTGTAAAACTGGGGGGCTACTGAGAGACGATCGGGGGTTGGAGGAGAGGTCACTGGGGAGCTACGTTCCAGATTTGGGGAAGTGTGGCTGAGAAAAGATTCCAGTTTGTGAGGGGTTCCCTGAATTGAGAATTTTGGAGTTAAAGTAGCTGAAGGGAGTTCCCCAATTTGGGGGGGGGGCTTTGGTAGGGAGCCTAGGATTTGCAGGGAGACACTAATGAGGAGGGGAAACTAAATTCCAGATTCTCACACTGAGCAGTGAACTTGGCCGCAGGCTGGAAGAACTCTAGCGCCCGGGATGTGGGGACGCTAGCCTGGGGGCTCACCTCAGTGCACGCCCCGCCCCCTGCGCCCCCTTCAACCTGGCCCCGAAGGCCCCGCCCCCGTATGACGTCAGTGCCCCTCCCCCAGCCCCTCAAGGGGGCTCCCGGGGCGTGCAGAGCCCTCGGGCTGGCTGCGGCCGAAGGGGCGGCTTCCTCTCTCCCGGGATCCCCACGGGGACCCCCCCTTCCGAATCCGAGTGAAGGTCTGGGTGCCCAGTGCGTTCACCTGTCCGCCGGGGCCCCTGGGGCCATGAACTGAGCCTCGCCCCGCTAGGGTGTGTAGGGGGCGGCCCGGGGCCGCAGAAGGATGAGGCAATTCCACGGTGCCGGTGGGCACCCCCCAAAGGGCTGATGGTGCCGCGAGGGTGCAGTGGGGAGACAGAGTTGAGCCAAGGGTCTCCCGGGGAAAGGAAGGCGGCGGGCGCAATAGCTGCCCCAGGGCTCCCCGACTGTCCCACCTCGAGACACCCGTCCCAGTCTTATCTCCACTCCGGGGCGCCCGTGCGTCCCCCCACCCCCAACACAGCGCCCCCTGCCTCCCCCGGCCGCACGCTGCCAGAGCCAGCACCCCCGCCCAGCACACACGGGCCCCCCTTCGCGCTCTGCCCCGCCCGCACCCTGGCTGGTGCAGCCCGCTACGCTGGGCTCCGTCCAACGCCGCGCTCGGGGCAATTACAGCCCAGCCCCCTCCCACGCCGCGGGCGCAGCCCCCAGCCCAGGGCGCCGAGCCCTCCCCGCGGCCCGGCCCGCCTCAGCCCACCCAGGGGGTGCCTGGTGTGGGCACAGCCCTCCAGCGCCGCGCGCCGAGACTTCCCCGAGGCCCAGCCAGCCCCAGCCCAGCCAGGGGTTGCACGGTGCAGGCGCAGCGGCAGGGAGGGCGGCCGGCTGCAGCGGAGCAACCTCCGAGCACAATGGCCGTGCAGGCTTCCCCGGCACAAAGCCGGCGCGCTGCCCACTCCGCTGCCTACGAGACCCCCATTGGATCGCTAGGTGATTTTTCTTTTTTTCTTTGCAACGGAATGGAAGTATTTGGGCTTCTTTACCTGGAGGCTGGCTGGGCTGGGCTCCCCCGGCTCGGCCCCGCTTCACATCCTGGCTGTGGCATGGAATCCGAGCGGAGCCCGAGCGCCAGCGGCTCGCGGCGTGCGCGCGCCGGCTGGGCTGCCGGGCGGGCGGCGCGAGGACACTCACTGCGG